CATCGGGCCTCTAGTATTAAAATAAAATAATAGAAGGTAAACGGGGTGGGGGCGTGTGGTTCTGAGTGAGCATTGCTCAGACTTTGGCTCAACTCGGCTGAGCCAGGCAGGCGCCAGAGGGGAGGGGAAGCAATGTTGCTTCTCTCCAGCCAGCGAACAATCTTACAAAAACGGTCTCTGAGTTGGCTATTCTCTAAACCCACGCCATGGTCTGTAACAGAGTCACACAGTCAAAGGCCTGCAGAAGCCAAAGCCTCCTCTTAATGGGTGACAATGTGACAGCAGTCTGTCTTGAGAACTGGGGTCTCCAGGGCCAGCGTCTTATGCCCTCACCCCGTTCTGGGTGTTAGCTGGGAGGGGCACGGTCTCAGCGCAGTCCCTCTCCCCGCAGGTGGGGACTCAGTTCAAGACCAGCCTGAGCAGCCTTCTGGAGATCCTCATCTCCAAGGAGCCCTCCTACATCCGCTGCATCAAGCCCAACGAGAGGAAGGAGCCCAGTGAGTTGTGAACGGCTCTGAGCCCCGAGCTCGGGAAATGAGGCCGGGAGGGGCCGAGGTGGAGGGCAGTCTAAACCCTCACCGCCACCGCCACAGGCTTGTGCTGTCCTCTGGGCATGAGTTCATTTCATTTGTAATAATAGGAGGTAGCCCAGTGGTCGGCAAACCACGGCTCTTTGGCCCCTTCAGTGTGGCTCTTCCACAAAATACCGACTTCTGCGCATGGGCCACGAAGTTTCAATCGCACTGTACGTGTGCGCCCGCATGTGGTATTTTGCCGACATGGGCCACAGCCCTAGCCAGTTTGGCTCGGACTGAAGGATCCCGGGTTCGATTCTGGTCAAGGGCACGTGCCCGGGTTGTGGCCCTGATCCCCAGGAGGGGGCGTTTTTTTTTAAGGGGCCAAAGAGCCACATGTGGCTCATGGGCCGTGGTTTGCCGACCACAGCCCTAGCCAGTTTGGCTCGGACTGAAGGATCCCGGGTTCGATTCTGGTCAAGGGCACGTGCCCGGTTTGTGGCCTTGATCCCCAGTAGGGGGCCTGCGGGAGGCAGCCGATCAATGATTCTCTCTCCCTTTCTGGAATCAATAAAAAGATTCTATATAATAAAGAGCTAATGCGAATTAGAGACCGAACAGTAGAGTCCCTGACAACCTTCTGGATGAAGCCGGGGCTGCGAGGGCCACGCCGCTTGCATGGATTTCGTGCATCGGGCCTCTAGTATTATACAATGCTGAAGCTTTATGTCCCTGTGGCCATATTGAAACCAGCACAAATGCCCTAGTAGTCATCTGGAGTCTCTCCCCTACTTGGGATGAGGTGGGTTTGCTGGAGTGTTTATTTGATTTTAAAAACAATCTTACAAAACTGTCTCTGAGTTGGCTATACTCTAAACCCCTGCCATGGTCTGTAAGAGAGTCACACAGTCAAAGGCCTGCAGCGGCCGGGCAGGAAGAAGATGAGTGAAGCAGACTGGGCATAAGGCAATAGGGAGTGGAGGGGACTGCGGCAACTGGAGAGGGCACACCCCGTTGAAAAGGGCAGCACGGCTCCCTTCCAGCTGCCGTTGTCTTGCGGGACTCTAGACCTAGAATGGCCAGACCTCATGGGTGTTTTGTTTTTTTTTAAGAGACACCAGAAATCCGGATTTCCTTGTAAAGTTCCCCCATGAAATAACGCTCTTGTTGTCTTTGGGCCTAAGGAAGCACGTGTGTGGCTAGATCCAGCTCCCAGGCCGTCAGCTCGCTGGCTCTCTCCTCTGGTCTCGGTTGGTTGAAATGGAGCCATGGGGTCCTTGACTGTCGCTCCCTCTTCTGTGTTTTCCAAGGCAAGTTTGACGACTTCCTCATCAGGCATCAGATCAAGTACCTGGGGCTGATGGAACACCTGCGGGTGAGGCGGGCCGGCTTTGCGTACCGGCGGAAGTATGAGCACTTCTTGCAAAGGTGAAGTTTGCTTTGTTGACCTGAAGCCAGTCTAGCCAAACTCCTAGAATAGAACCTCATTATCTGTGTGCGGAGGGGGAGGGGGGGGAGAGGGGTGAGGGTGAGTGGGGGGGTATGTTCTAAGACCCCCAGTGGATGCCTGCAACCGCGGATAGTACCGAACCCTATAGATACGTTCTTTCCTAGACATACAACCTCTGATAAAGTTTAGTTTATAAATCAGGCAAAGAGAGTAGCAACAATAATAGAACAATTGGAACAATAGCCATAAGAAAAGTGACGTGAGTCTGGTCTCTCTCGACACATCTTATCGTATTGTACTCACCCTGTGATGCTGTGAGATGCTAAATTGCCTTAAGTGGAGAACTTCCACCTTTTCACTTACATGAAGCCCTCTGTGGCTTCTCTGAATCGCTGTCAACGCTGGTCTTGTGCTTTGGGGCCGTTATTACGTAAAGTACGTGTGACCTGAACACAAGCGCTGCGACACTGTGACGGTGATGTGATGGCTCGGAGGGCTGCTATGTGACGGGCGGGGAGCATATACAGCGTGCAGGCGCTGGGCAAAGGGACGAGTCGTGTCCCTGGTGGGACAGTGCCATGATCACTAATCACACTGTTCAGAATTGCATGCAGTGTGACACTTGTGAACTGCTTGCTTCTGGAATTTTCCATGTAATGTTTGTGGACTGAAGTTGACCGTGGGTAACAAACCGTGGAAAGCGAACCCACGGAGGAGGGGGACTAATGTGGAGAGGTGTGAGTTTCTGATGAGGCGGAGACTCCACCACCATCCCGCAGGGACCGCAGTTTGGCTCCTCCCGGCTGTGAGGCTGTGACGGTGATAAACGCGAATATTTCCAAGAACAGAACGCCAACTCAGTTCACCCGCGTCCCTTCGTTTCACTAAGACCCCAACTTGGGGGAATGGAAGCAGCACAAGGCCAAATGCATAGACCTGCCACCAGGGAGCAGGCATGAGTCGTGCCCCGCTTGGGTCTTGACAGGCGCTGGGTTAGCGCTGTGTGTTGGGCTGATCCCCTCCGCATACTGGGCTGTCGAGAGAAGAGCGTGTAGTGGGAATGCAGGCATAGGAGCCGCACAGAATTGGGGGTGGGGATCCCCATACACATGGAGTCGTAAAATAGGTGGACTTTTGTGTCTAGCTTTTTTCACTTGGCATAATGTTTCCAAGATTCATCCACGTCCTAACGTGGATCATAATTCATTCCTTTTTACGGCTGAATGGTACTTCACTGTGTGGCTAGGCCACCGTGCATGTATCTACTCATCCGCTGACGGACACTTGGGTGGCTCCCACTCTTGGGCTGTGATGACAATGCTGCTAGGGCCATTCATGGGCACGTTTCTGTGTGGACACGTTTTCATTTCTTTGGGCATATGCTTAGGAGTAAGTTAGTGGGTCAGATGATAACTCAGTGTTTGAGGAACTGCCAGACTATTTACCAGGTATTGGGTTTTTTTTGAGGTACCCTCTGCAAAAATCTGAAAAATGGGTGTACACCATTTTTGCTCAGCAGCTATTCATTCACCCTTATCTCCTTCATTTTCCCCCTTTTGGTGAAGTGGCAGGAAGTAGCAGTTACTGCCTGCCCCCCTCCCCGCCCCCTACACACACACACATAACGCTCCCATCTTCCTGCAATTTTTGAACTTCATACATCTCTTTCCTACTTTGTTGCTGTCTGGGGCTTGTTTATTCTTTCCATAAATACCAGGGAGCACCTACCTGCTGGTGCCAGCGCTGTCCGAGGTGCTGGGTGGCTGCAGAGAATCAGGCCCACCCCTGCCGATGGCGCTCACCCTCCCGTGAGAGAGGCTGCCGATAACACATTATCTTCTCATCTGTCTGCTGATGGACATTTGTGTGTCTTACCTTTTGTCTATTCTGAATAATGACGCTATGAACACTGGTATATAAGTTTTTGCGTGGATATGTTTTCCTGTCTCTTGCTTGTACAGGATGGGACAAAAGAAGGCTTACAGTTGTTCACATGGAAAATAATACAATATTTAATAAGTAATAACACAATAATAAACTGTTTCACATACCGACAACTGTAAACCTTTGGCTCCGCCCTGGATACCTAGGAGTGGAATTGAGTTTCTTGAGGTGTCTGATGATGTCATTGTTCTATGAAGACAGGCCCCAAACCACCCACACGATTGAAGTATTCTCTCTCTCTTTTTTTTTGGCCAAGTATATATTGTTGAATTCAAAGCATCTGAATTCAAGCAAGGAATGAGTCTACTACAGCACACGGGATATAGTCGGCTGGCATGCGACCCTGGTGGGAGGATGGTGTAAGGGCAGGGTGTGCCTCTCTCTCCCCAGGTACAAGTCCCTGTGCCCAGACACCTGGCCGCACTGGCGCGGGCCTCCAGCAGAGGGCGTAGAGCGGCTGATCAAGTACATAGGCTACAAACCGGAAGAGTACAAGCTGGGGAGGTGAGAGGCTGGGAAGTCACTGTCAAATGTTTCGGGCATTGATCCACATCCACCTGGAGCCCAGAGATTCATTTTTCAGGAAATGACGTAGACGTATAAGCAGATACCTCCATCCACTGCATTTAAATGCAGCTCTTAAAGCAGAACCCTCTCCTGTGTGTCTCCTCCACGCACAGTGGTGGGTCACTCGGAACAGTCCACGCCTCGGACTCCAGCTGGGCACACAACGATTTCACTCAGTCCTGATACTGTCGACCTGGAGAGAGTGGCAGACCCCACAGGGAACGGCCCAGCCCTATAAGACGGCTCCTTCCCCACAGCAGATGCCTGTCCCATGTCCAGGTTGTCATTTGGGCTTCTGACTGACCGGCTATAAATGGGGGTTCCCACAAGCCCCTCTTGGGGTTTGAATGATTCGTTAGAGCAGGAAAACATTTTACTGCAGGTTAGGATGGTGTGTTAGCTTCCTGGGCTGCATAAAACGTTGGCACAAACTAGCTGGCTTCAACCAAGAGAAATTCATTCTCAGTTCGAGACGCTAGAAGTCCAAACTCCAGGTGTTGGCAGGCTTTTTTGGGGATCCCTCGCTGCTTCCAGCGGCTCCTGACATTCCTTGGCTGTGGCAACATCACTCTAGTCTCCGCCTCTGTCTTCACATGGCCTTCTTCCCTGTGTGTGTGCGTTTTTCTGTCTCTTATAAGGACACGCTTGGATTTAGGGTCCCCCTCCCCCCAATGATCTGACCTTGAGCCTTACCCCTGATTACATCTGCAAAGATCGTATTTTCAAATAAGAATCTTACATTCTGAGGTTCTGAGTGGACCTGATTTTGGGGGGACCACATGCGACCCACTACAGATGGTAGCTGACCAATTAATCATTAAAACACCTTTGTTTCCACTTCTAGAACCAAGATATTCATTCGCTTCCCCAGAACTCTGTTTGCCACGGAAGATGCCTTTGAATTTAGTAAACATCAGTTGGGTATGATTTTTTTTTTCTGTCCTGACTTCCATAGACTGTGAAATGACAAGCTTAGCTTGGGCTCCATCTTCAACGTGGTGTTTGATGGAACGCTAGAAACACTGGCTTTGAGAGGCAGGAACACGATAGTGCCCTGGCCGGGTGGTTCAGCTGATTGGAGTGTTGACCCGGGCACCTAAAGATTGTGGGCTCGATTCCCAGTCAAGGCACATCACTGGGATCTGGTTAATGGGCAGGTGCTGGCTGTGGTGGGGGTGGGGGGGGGGGAGTTTTGAACCAGCTCCCAGGGGATGTGACATTCATGTTTTCAAGGTCCTCAGGGAGCTGGGCCTGTCAATGGGAGGAGGTGGATGGAGAAAGGAGAAGCTACAGGGGGCGGGTGTGTGGTCCCGCAGCCCTGGGGTCACACCCCCTTAGCTGCACGTTTCCCCACCATCTGACCTGCAGGCCCAGTAGTCAGATGTGTTGCTGCCGGTGCAGGGTGGGGACTGAGGGTGGGGGGTGAGAATGGGGGGTGAGGGTGGGCTGTAATGCCCACCATGGAACCAGGCCCTCCTGATGGTGGCTCTGGGCCTTACCCTGGGGGAAGGCAAGAGGAAGGATGAGAAAGCTCCGGACAGCAGGGCTGAGTGTGACTTGCTGACACTTGGCTTCCTCGTCCCCTCCGCACTGAAAGCCCCGAGGGTCACTTCTGACATCCCCTCAAGGTCACAACTACAGCGAGGCACACGTGAAAGTCACTCCACAAACTTCTGTTTTATTTTAAGTGGCGAGGATTCAAGCCACGTACAAAGCCTGCCTGGAAAGAAGAGTGTATGTGAAAAAAAGACAAGCAGGTAAGGGTTACACAGAAACTTTCCCGTTGGCCATGGGCCCAGCGGTTTCTCATCTCCTCCCCCGGCCCGGGCTCCTTTGCGCATCCTCCCCTGCCCGTCCTCAA